ACGTTGAGTCACTGCGGTGCCATTACTGTTTTATGGAAGTAAATAAACATAGGCTTTAGAGAGAGCAGTAATTTGTTTAAGGACATGTTGCTAGGAAGTAGTGGAGTTGGGACTAGAAGCCAAGCTGTGTGGCTGCAGAATCTGGGCTCTGAATTAACACACCGGGTACGAGCCCGCGCCCCACTGTCCGGCACCGAGGAGACTAGCTGTCTCTTCTCTCCCAGCTCAGGGCGGGGCTTTACCTAGAGCTGGAGTCAAAACACACACACCGCTAAGGGCCAGGCAAGTAACAAAAGTGAGGGAAGAGGGAGGGAAGGTGATAATGAGAATAAGAGTAAGTAATAATCAAAATAACAACAAACAACAGAACCAAACTTGTAGGTATGGAGAGCAGATTGGTGGTTCTGGGAGGGGAAGGGGGGTGGGGGCTGGGCAAAATGGGTGAAGGGGATCAGGAGGCACAAACTTCCAGTTATAAAATAAATAAGTCACGGGGATGTAATGTACAGTATGGGGACTAAAGTCAATAGTGTTGTATTGCATCTGTGAAAGTTGCTAAGAGACGTCTTGAAAGTTCTCTTCACAAGGAAAAAGAATTTTTTTAACTATATATGGTAACGGATGGTGACTAGATTTATCGTGGTGATCATTTCACAATGTATACAAATATGGAATTGTTATGTTGTATACCTGGAACTAATATAATGTTTTATGTCAGTTACACTACAATAAGAAACCCACAGAAAACAACAAACATTTATTGAATTTCCACTGTGTGCCAGGCACTGTTCTAAATACTGTACATCTTTTAACTCCCTTAATCCCCAAACAATCTAATGAGATTGATAATGACTAATAATAATGACTATTATTATGCCCATTTTACATGAGACGAAGCTAAGGGTCAGTGAAGAACAACACCTGCTCCAGGTCACACATCTGGGAGTGGCGCCCGGGAGTGCAGCTGGAGGAGGCGCCCCCTTGTCCCCTTGCTGCCCAGCCCTGGGCGCCGGAGGGGCTTGCCTCCAGCCAATGGGGGAGCTACTTTCAGCTCCAAATGATTGCCCTGCAGAAATTCATTCCCGCTGGTAGTGTGGCATTTCACATGAAATTGCCCAAGTTTTCAAAGTTAGCAATTAATTAAGAACAAAATACCTGAGCAGGACAAACAAAAGAAGCCTGTGGGCTGAATCTGGCCTGCAGACTTCGAGTGTGTGATCTAGTTACCGAGAGTGTGAGTTTTCAGGGCGTGAAAGGAAACCGGAGCCCAGTACCGTCCACAGATACGTCGGCTTCTGAATGTAACTCAAGCCCTCGCTGACCGCCAGTCTTGAGCGCTGGGAGCTGAGAAGCGCCCTGACTTTGGAAAGCCCTTGTGAGTGGACCCAGTCACCTCCGCATCACGGGCTGGCTGTATGTTAAAAGGTCAGGGCCATGAGGCAGGAGCTTCATTTCTGCAGGATATTTGGGTTACGAACTAATGTTTCCATCTGGTTTGCAAAAGTGCAGCACAAGTCTGTCGGGGTCTGGGTATTGTTTTACCTTTCTAATTCCGCTCAGTCTGAAAGAGGATCTGAAATCACCTTGCCTTGCTCTAAAATGCTTGCATTCCAATGTTTTATTTATTGAAGACTGTCCTTCCTGTATAGCTTTAGAAAAATTAGACTCTAATAATGTGTGTAATAGAATATTAAAAATACATTTATCCATACATAAACAGTCTGTTAAACTAAATGTGCTTGGATGCTTCCGAGATGTTTTTCCCTTAATGTTTGTCACTGGTTTACTTGCCACTTGTTGTCTCTCTGGCCAGCATGTGTAGGAGAGTCAGGTTCTAAACAAAAAGCTCACTAGGCAACATTTTTAGAAAATTATTTCTTTTTTTCCCCTTCAAACCTTTATATTCATACTTGGCACGTACTCTAGGTTCTTAGGAAAAAAATGCTTAAGCACTGTGCTAGTTCCTTAGGGCTGTCATAACAGAGCACCACAATCCCGGCGGCTTAAATCGTAGAAATGGACTCTCCCCAGCTCTGGAGGCCAGAAGTGAGTCACGCTGTGGCAGGGCCACGCTCCCTCTGAAGGCTCCAGGGAACGCTCGGCCTCGCCTCCTCCCGCTGGCCTGGCGATCCTCTGCAGGCCTGGGTTTGCCCCTGCCGCTCTCCAGTCTCGGCCTCTGTCATTGCATGGCCTTCTCCCCGGATGCCTCAGAATCCAAATCTCCCTCTCCTGATGACGACCCCAGTCACTGGGTTTAGGGCCCACTCTATTCCACTATGACCTCGTCGTAACTTCATTACGTCTCCAAGCACCCTACTTTTAAACAAGGTCACATTGATAGGTTCCCAGTGGACAGGACTTTTCAGCTGGTTGGGATGACACCATTCAACCCAGTGCATGCCTCCATCAGCAACGTGTACGAAAACAATCAGGGTAGGCACAGAGCAAAATTCCAAGACTCATTATGATACTGAACCTGTTAATCTCAGGTCCAAAAAATGTTCTCTTTTAACTGGTAATATTCTATGAATTTTTATAGAACATCTGATGCTTTTCTGGAACAAAGAATGGTATGAATAAATAAATACTAAAATAACCACTGTTAATTTGATGGTAGTGTTGGGATATTGGCCTCCATTTGAGAACAAACTCATTATGAGATTCTTTCTTCCATGATGAAATGCCAGTGTAGATCTCAGAGTGATGTCTCTAATTGCCTAGACCTTTTTACATTAGGTATCTGCATGAGTTAGAATTCCTTTGTGAAGATAAAAAGGCTGCTGCAAAAAATCATGCTGGCGCTGTGAGCACTGTCAGACTGGAGGCCATCTCAAATGAGATTAATGATGTCTGCCATAATGTAAGAAGATTTAGCATAACCAAGATGGCGGATTCTGCGGAAGCCTGCCAGCGCTCATTTACTTGGAATAAATATTATTTCTAATTAAATTCCTAAGGTAGGTTATTCCTGAACTAATGAGCTCTACAGTGGTTTCCTTTGGGAATGAATTTTCTTTCCTAATTCTTAGTCATTTTGATGATTACTGCTCATTCAATCTTACTTGTGGCGGTCAGCTTTGTAGGACATGTTGATTTCTAGCTAAAGGTGCTAAATAACCCTGTGTCTGTCTTTACATGGTGCTCTCATTTTCTAATTATACTTATCATTTAATCCAAACGCTCTTATAGATTTGTCTGTCCAATTTAGCTGTATATAGCGAGTCAGCTTTATAAAATAAGGAGATCACTAACAAGAAAATAAAACTTCATTCTATGTGAAACGACAGGGAACATAACATCAGAAAATTATAGCATTGCTATTTTCTTATTGAAGTATAATTGACATATTATGTTAGTTTCAGGTGTACAACATAATGATTCCATATTTGTATACATTGTGAAATGATCACCACAGTCAGTCCAGCAACTTTCAAATATGCAGTACACTATTACTGACTCTAGTCACCATGCTGTACATTCCATTCCCATGACATTTATTTGATAACTGGAAGTTTGCCCCCTTATCTCCTTCACCCATTTCAGCGCCCCCCCCGATTCCCCTCCCCTCTGGCAACCACCAAGCTGTTTTCTGTGAGTTTTGTTTTGTTTGTTTTGCTTTTTAGATTTCACATACAAGTGAAATCATATGGTATTCGTCTTTCTCCTTCTCTTTTTGATGATAGCCATTCTGACAGGTGTAAGGTGGTATCTCATTGTGGTTTTGATTTGCATTTCCCTGTTGAGCATCTTTTCATCTGCCTGTGGGCCTTCTGTATATCTTCTTTGGAAAAATGTCCATTCAGATCCTCTGCCCATTTTTTAATTGGATTGTTTTTTTGTTATTGAGTTGTATCAGTACTTTATATATTTTGGATATTAACCCCTTATCGGATATATGAATTGCAAATATATTCTCCCATTCAGTAGGTTGCCTTTTCATTTTGTTGATGATTTCCCTCACTCAGCAGAAGCTTTTTAGTGCGATATAGTCACATTTGTTTGTTTTTTGCTTTTGTTGCCCTTGCCTTTGGAGTCAGGTCCAAAAAATGATCTCCAAGACTTATGCCACAGAGCTTACCGCCTATGTTTACTTCCAGGAGTTTTAGGGTTTCAGGTCTTCCAGTCAAGTCTTTAATCCATTTCGAGTTAATTTTTGTATATGGTGTAAGACAGGGGTCCAGTTTTCCCAACACCATTTGTTAAAGAGACTGTGCTTTCCGCCTTGTGTATCCCTGCCTCCTGTGTCATAAATTAATTGCCCATATATGCATGGGTTTATTTGGGCTCTCTATTCTGTTTCACTGATCTGTGTCTGTGTCTATGCCAATAGCTGTTTTGCTGGACTACAGCTTTGTAACATAGTTTGAAAGCAGGGATCCTGATGCCTCCAGCTTTGTTTTTCTTTCTCAAGATTGCTTTGGCTCTTCAGGATCTTTTGCGGTTCCATACAAATTTTAGGATTGTTTGTTCTGTTTCTGTGAAAGATGCCATTGGAATTTTGATAGAGATTGTATTGAATCTTTAGATTGCTTTGGGTAATATGGACATTTTAACAATATTAATTCTTCCAATCCATAAGCACAGATTATCTTTCCATTTCTTTATGTCTTCTTCAATTTCTTTCATCAATGTCTTTTAGTTTTCAGTGTACTGGTCTTTCACCTCCTTGGTTAAATTTATTCTTAGGTAGTTTATTTTTATGTTTATTTTTAATTTTCTGAGGAAGATTCACCCTGAGCTAACATGTGTTGCTAATCTTCCTCTTTTTTTTTTTTGCTTGAGGAAGATTAGCTCTGAGCTAACATCTGTGCCAATCTTCCTCTATTTTGTATTATGGGTCGCCACCACAGGCTGGCTGACCAGTGGTGTAGGTCCATGCCTGGGATCCAAACTTGTGAACCTGGGCAGCCAAAGCAGAGTGCACTGAAGTTAACCACTATGCCACGGGCCGACCCCAGTAGTTTATTCTCTTTGATGTAATTGTAAATGGGGTTGTTTTCTTAATTCCTCTTTCTGATAATTCATTGTTAGTGTATAAAAACACAGCAGGTTTTTGTACTAACAGTGCTAGTTTACGTATTTTTTATTGATCCTGGTTCTTTGCCAGGCACTGCCCCAGGTGTTTCACACACATCAACTCTAATCCGCACGGGAGTTCTGCAAGACAGGGGCTACTGTTCCCCTCCGCTAGATCACTGTGCAGAGGCTCGGGAGAGAGGGGCGAGGTTTAGTTCTGCAGCTCACGTTCACAGCCTCATGCCCTGCAGCCTCTGCTAATGGCGGCAGTGCCCAGCTTTCAGCAGCCCTCCACATAAACTGTCTATCAGTATGTGGTGCATCCAGATCTTCAGTGACTCAACAGGGTTGGTGTTCTGCTTACTATTGCTGGGTAACAAACCACCCCCAAACTTTGTGGTATCAAAGAGCCATTTTATCACATTCATAGATTCTGTGTGTAAGGAATCTACACAGGGAAATGAAGAAGCCTATTTCTAGGGCCTCGGCTAGATTCTGTCCTGGAGGGTTCTTCACGCGCCTGCTGGCTTTTGGCTGGAGCCTCGGGTGGGACTGTCAGCCAGAACACCAATCTGCAAACTCTCTATATTGCCTGGGTTTTCTCACCACATGTTAGCCCCTGAGTAGTTGGTCATCTTATAGGGCAGCTCAGGGCTCCAGCGTGAGTGTCCCAAAAGAATTAGGCATAAGCCTTTCCTGAGCTAGCCCTGGAAATTATGCTGGGCCACTCCTGATGCATGCTGTTGGTTACAAGCAAGTGACTAAGATTGACCTAGATTCAAGGAGGGGACATGGACACCCATTTCTTAATAGGAAAAGTATCAAAGAATTTGCAAACGTGCGTTAAAGCCATCACAGTGGGTAACAAATAGTCCACTACATACTGTGACTTGTGGCTAATCCGTTGGTGTTGGAGTTCCTATGTGTCTCCCCTGTTGGACCTTGCCCCTGCCTGCTGACCCACTTGACTCCTAGAAATATAAGCCGGGGAGCCCTCCAGGCAAATGCCTCTCTATTACTGGTGGGGCTTCTGCCCCTAATTTCTAGCTGATCTGCTGCCTTGATAAACTGGCCAGGGAAGAGGCGAAACATTGGTAGACTCCTTTTCAACCTTTTTTTCTAAGGACAGACAGTCAGAATATGCTTCTCATTAACCTTGGACGGTTTTGCTTGGCTTTTCAGAAGCAAGAGTAGGCTGAAAAATTCAAATTTATTACTTCACTCACATGAGATCATGCACCTGGTTAATTCAATTTTTTTAAGTAATTTTATTGGGATTATAATGGTTTGTAACAATGAGAATTCAATCTTTAGTAAATTAAAATATTTGTTGACAGAAAGACCCTGCTGGTGGAGACAGAAATCATTGATCAAGGTTGGTCGGTAAATGTAGAATTAGAATTGAATTGAGCATTTTCCATGTACTTACAATATAAGATGAATAAAAGTCTCTTTTGTTTTTTCCTTTAAAGGAGGAAAAATTGAGTAAAGACATGAAAACTACTTAACTGGAAAAGGTGATTAGACAGCAGAGTGGAATTGATGATTTGGTGCCTCCTTTTCCCTGGACCATCATTCCGAGAGACCACACACAGTTATGACATAAAGTCCAGCTGAAACGTTCATTCCAGATCTCTCTGAATGGGATACATTCAGGCTCAGGGAGCCGCTCTTAACTGACGGTGTTGCCTAGGACAGAGAGCTGTGGAGCAGCGGGGACCAGGAATTCTGAGTGTAGCCACCACTCGCTCACTTCACATTTGACACATACGCAGGTAAAGCTATTGCTGTTACTGCGTTTCATAATTTCATAAAAAGGCTGCTTATCAAGTAGCCTTTGGAGCGCTGGAAAAGAGAATGTGCCACTCAATAGTCTTCCATGAAACTGTTCTCTGAATTAACAGAAATCTGAAGGGTAGATGTGCTATGTATCTAGATTTCTTCAGGATTTTACTATATTTTTAACGGAAATATTATGCTTCATAATTATCAGAATATTTTCTGCTATAACGAGCTGAAATACTACATTTCCCAATTTCTCTTGCAACAGGAGAGCAGTCATTTGACTAAGTTCTAAAGGGAGGGTATAAACTTCCAAGTCTCCTTTACTTTTAACTTCTGACTCTTCTTAAAAGAGAGGGAGTACATCCTTCATGCTGCCTGGAATGTGGGCATGTGGAATGTGAGCATGATGGCTAGAGCTTCAGCAGCCATTATGAACCATGTGGCGGAAGCCACCAGCTGAGGATAGTGGAATGAGAGCCTGGGTCCCTGACCTGTGAATCTACCACAGCTGTCTTTACATGTCATTCACTTGAGAGACAAATAAACATTTTTCTTATTTAAGCTACTGTTCGTTGTGGCTGCTGTTATTGTTTACGGAACCCAAACTAACTGTTCTTAATCCTAACTGATACACTGTCCTTGAAGATAATTTTATCAGCTTTGGTCCCAGCAGGAAACAGAAGTGTTTAATGAAGGCATATATACAGAGATGTGGGCAGGGTTAAGGGAGCCAATCAGGGCCTAGGAGCTCCAGGAAACTGTTCCAGGGCCCAGGTGTCGGGGGAAGGAGGAGGGAGCTGTTCCTAGAACGTGGTAAGAGCTGTGTCCTGGGAGAAGGGCTGGACTGCAAGTGTTGCGGCCATAAGAAAGCAGCCACAGCTGAAACATGGCTGGGGGGTGGGTGGGTGGGTGGGTACAGAGACCAATTCTCTCTCCTCTTTCTTGATTTTCTGCCAGTGTCTCCTGTTGGCTGAACCCAACGACAAGCCAGACGGCCAGGGAAACTAGGGGATGCAGTCAGTAAAGGTCAACCTCGTGGGACACTGCAGAGAAAACAGTGAAGAACCATTCTGGAGGGACGATGGAGCAGCATCTCCATCATCTACTCTGTGGGCAGCAACTCTACTTTTACGAATATTATCCAAGGCACATAATCAGAGAAAAAGTTCACTGCAGGCCAATCTGCTTTCCTGGTCTGAAAAGAGCCCATGTGTCAGTCTGTCTACAGAGCTGTGTCGCTTAAGCACAGGGCAAGGCTGGGAAGGACTGTTGACTATGGGCTCGGGAGGGGAGGCACCGCAGCACACAGGATGGGGCAGACATTTCTGTACATTCAAAAATTGGTTGCATATGGATGACTTGGCATTTGCGTTTTTTAGTATTTTTTGATAAACAAAAAACAAACCCCACAAATCACTTTTGGAAGTGGAAAATACAAGAAAAAGCTTAATTCTTGATGTAACTTTCACGTTGCATGTTCTTTTATCAGGTTGTTGCCTGCATTTATATAAGGCTAGCAAATGGGCAGATTTAATAAATTATATGTGACCATTTGCTAGCGGGCATATTTAAATTATATAATTTATAGAAAATATATAAATGATATTGAGAAAATTTTGAAGTACTTAGCAGAAGAGTAATTTCTTTAGTAAAATGGTACCATTCATATTTTAATCACATCTTCCACATTTGAGCTGGAACCCAATATCCAAATCTCCTATTGACATTTAAACATTAGGTTGATTTTTTTTAACTTCCAAAGTAAAAATACATTTCAAAGCTATGCTGCCTTTGTTAGTAAAAGGACAGAGATTTTTGTCATATATTATGGGAATTCTAAAATAGGCTTTTCAAAAAATAAGAGAAAAAGCATAATATTTTTACAACTCTTTCAAAGCTCTGTAAGGTCTGTGAAAAGGCCTTTCAAAGAGATTTAGAAATTAATTGAACAACATCTCTTGGGAATTATATTGTGCAGTTATTATAATAACATAAAAATAATCAGAAATTGGAACTTCAAATTAAGGACCCCAAACAGGAACTGAATTTCTTGTATTTTTCTAGGCTGTGGTGAATGCTAACCTGTTTACCAATCACTTGTCACCTTCTCTTAGTAAGTTAAATATAAAGAAGGTGAACTGAAAGTCTCTCAGCACCTTTGTTGAAAATGGCCCACACGACCTTTAAAAAATTCAAGTGTGGTTGGAGGAGAACAAGAGTTATCAAGAAAATGGTTTTCTCCTTGAAGGTTCAAGGGCTTTTGATGGAAGAGCTATTAAGTAACACAGGGTTTGGGATACCAATTATGCTCTCTGGTAGGTATACAAAATTTTTAATGAAATATTTCAAACATGGAGAAATATACATTTATTCAAGATCATAATTTTGGATGACTTTCCATTTTCACCTCACATAATGAGATTGGAGCTGATTCAAATATATAGGATTTTAAAAAAAAGTACTTTTTCAAACCATTAATAAATGAGTTATCATATGAGTTATTTTCTCTAGGTCCGTTAGACTGACTACAGCAGAAAGGGGAAAGAGAGAAGCTACAACAAGGCTAAGTAAGCCAGTTACAGAATTTGTTTTAAAAAATCTCCCCAGTCTTTCATATAGTCATTCAATCCCTTGTGCTGGTATTTGGAAAACATTTATTTGTCAATTATTTATTTCTAAATAATTCAAGCACTGTATCAATTGAGTAATGGCCAAGAACTGGTTTAAAAATCTCTTCTGTAATACTCAAGGAATTCTGGGGTAGAGAAAGTGGCGGAATGAAGGAGTAACACGGGTACAAGAATTCCAGAACAATTCCTCCATAGTTTAGTGACCCCAAATGTCCCATGTCTTGTTTCATTTCTAGCTTTTGTTATTATAATTTGCTCACTTAAAGATTTTCACTTGATGCTCAAACCAAAGGAAAATCTGGGGAGGGTTCTAACCCCAGGCAAGCGGACTGTGTCTTTTAGTTCCAAAACGATGCTTTCTATAACAGGATCTGGTATCAGGGAACAGACAGTGGTCCACATGCTTGTACAAGGCCTTACTGGCAGATGCAATTCTCTCTTAGAGGTATTGAAAATCTTTCAGCTACCATTGCATACCTTGGGTCATGTCATTTGGCTGACAAGCAGTGATGATACAAGACTGCTCACGCTAGTGGCCAAATGAAGGCTTGGCTCATTCAGCCCATTCTCCACCAAAAGGAAGAAACGGTCAGAGAAAGCCAGAGGGTGACCAGGAACCTAAAATTTTGCCTGGACTTTTAAAAGATTGAGAGGGCAGGGCTACTGGGGTCTTTGACGAGAGGAACTCTTCCCTGGGTTAGAACTGCAACAGTTGCCAACCTTCTGGAGCTACTATCGGGAAGATGGAAGTGGGGGGTTGTGAGTTCTGGGGCTCCAGGAGCTTTCTTATCCTTCAAGTCTTGGTTCAGTTGTGATTTCTTCCCTGAAGCCTTCCTTAATTTCCTAACTTGGAGTAACTTCTCTCTTCTTTGCAACCAAGTCCTCTCCTCTGCCACTAAGTGTTATATCTCTGACATCATGTACGTGTCTGTGCTTCATAGAGTCTCCTGAGGGCAGGACCTGCACTGGATGCGCCTGTGTATACCCAACCACCCTTACTGTGCCCAGCACAAACTAGGTACTCCAAAAACGTTAATGAATAAGTGGGTCAATCTGACTGAAGAAGACCTCAAGTAAGTAGACGGTAGGCTGCTAACCATAGAGCAAGAAGGGATTATCGTGGTTTTGGCAAAGGGGAGCTCAGGGAAAGCTGGGACGAAGCTGGGTCTATTGGCCACGTCAGTTCAAGCGCATACGTAGGAGTACACCGACGTTGGGGTCTAGCTTTCCAAACGATTGCCCATGCGACCATTTGTCCCATATTTCCTCAAGATGGCTTCCACACCAAACTGTCACCTTGGCATAAACAGTATACTTTTTCTATGAAGGGCTTTCTTTTACGTTATTTTATTGAACAACTCAAGTGGGCAGGTACCCTCATTTCACATGCTAGGATGCTGAAGCGAAGCAGGTGAATGACTCCAAAGTGTTCTGTCCTCACATCCTTAGGTATCTGCCTCCTTAAAGGGAGTGCCAGAAAAAATGTTCTTATTCCATTTTCCCCGAGAATGCACTCAGTTCATATATGAAAACCAAACTTGTACTCATCATTTTTTATGAAATCAACGTTTCATAAAACACTTTGAGGTCTCATGTAAGTCCAAGTTATTATCATTCATCAAGTGACATGACAAGGACAGTTCTTTTTATAGACTCATTATATGAGGATGTTAAAGAAGGCCAGGATGTATGTTAGCTTGATAGTGATATGTTTGACAGTATTCTATGAACTCTTTCTAATTCACTTGCTTTGGCTTGTGTGGTAATACTGTAGTCTTCTAGATGAATGCAGGTAAATGAAATTAACAATACATTAAAATGAATCCTATTGGAAATCAGGAAGGAGGGGAATAGTCGCTGGGCTCCTGCAGGGACTAAAGTTCACTTATTAAAAAAATAACTTGATTCTCTATCTCTAGGAGAAATTTAGCTTTAACATACAAAGCTATTGCAGTTCAATCTCCTGGATTTGGGCATTTTGCCGCAGAGGAACACTGGCGTTCAACGTAAGTAAGGTACACCATGAGATTTTCAGTGTCTTATAGATGAGGAATGTAAGGCACGCTGAGAAAAACACCTAGTCCAGGTTCTTTGGAGAATCACTGGTGGCCCAAATGACAACCCACAGCCTTGCCTAGACCACTAAAATATACTTTCCCAAAGGGTGATAATAGTTTCACTGTTTACAAGTTATGCAAAGAATGAAATACAAAATGTTTCAGAAACTGAAAACCCTTTTTTAAAGAACAACTGATATTGAGGACACACTGGTTTATAACATTACATAAATTTCAGGTGTACATCATTATATTTTGACTTCTATATAGACTACACAGTGTTCACCACCAAAAGTCTAGCTGCCACCCGACACTGTACACACGTGCTCCTTTATGCTTTTTGCCCTCCCCGACCCCCTGCCGCTCTGGTAACCACTAATCTGTTCTCCTTATCTATGTGTATGTTTGTTTATCTTCCACATATGAGTGAAATCATACAGTATTTGTCTTTCTTTGTCTGACTTGTTTTGCTTAACATAATACCCTCAAGGTCCATCCATGTTGTCACAAACGGCACAATTTTGTCTTTTTATATGGCTGAGTAGTATTCCATTGTATATATACACCACATCTTCTTCATCTATTCATCTGTTGATGGGCACTTGGGTTACTTCCAAGTCTTAGCTATTGTGAATAGTGCTGCCATGAACATAGGGGTGCATAATATCTAATTAGTGTTTTTCATGTTCTTTGGATAAATACCTAGAAGTGGAATAGCTGAATGATATGGTAGTTCTATTTTTAATTTTTTGAGAAATCTCCATGCTGTTTTCCATAGTGGCTGCACCAGTTTGCATTCCCATGAGCAGTGTATGAGCGTTCCCTTCTCTCCACATCCTCTCCAACACTTGTTATTTCTCATCTTATTAATTAC